TGCCGGTGGAATTCATTGTTCCATTGAGCTTCGCTTGAATTGGTCTGTTCTCTCGATGATCGTAGTTGATATCATATCTTCGAATTCAATAGATAGTCACCCTGGGTGAAGGAGATTGAGAGCTGAGGATCAATTAGGTTCTGAATTCATTTTGGATATGCTTTGTTCTTTATTCTCGGTCGTATCTCCATTTCCTTTCCCAGGTCTGTGTTATGTTTTGGATGTAGCCCGAATACGCGTAATGGTTCTTGTTCAGTGTAGACCTAAATACATTCGTAATTTTCAGTCATGAAGCGTGAACACACGGACGACGACAGATTCGGAGGCTCGCGTAACTCCAAGCGTCAAAGAGCTGATGGGTAAGTGACAAACGCTCTTGGAAAAGTTCCATTCCAAGCACGCATCGAATTGTATTTTAGCTTCTCCGAAGCGTTGGCTCAGGGAAAATTTGAACTTCGTGTTCTTGTGAGCAGCAAATGCGCTGGAGCCATTATTGGTAAAGGTGGTGAAAACATCAAACGTCTCCGCACCCAGGTATGTTTTACCCAGGTTTTTCGGGTAGGGTATACAGGAGTACATGTAGCTGTAATCGTAGGGGTACGGATAGTAAACGCCACGAAGGAACCCGAGCCTGCTGCGGTTGAAAAACGTGGACCTCATCATACCCAAGATCGCTTGAACGATAGTTTTTTTCGTTTAAAGAAGGCTACTTTCGCCCTCAATTGCGATAAGATATGATTACATACAAAGGCCGAGCATGTCCAGTCAAGAAAGGGGCGCACTCGTAGTTGGTCATAACGATCGCACAGCGTTAGATATAGTCGAAATCTCGAAGTCAGATTAGGCGTGGCTACGGATTTGACGTGGCCTTTGCCGCACTTGATAAAAGCCGTGAGGATAGGGCTGTTTCTAACGTACTCCATTGGATATCAGCAGAGCATGCTTATCCGCGCAACTTCCATCAAATGCGGCGGCCGCCACGTCAAACCCATAGACACGCCTAATCTGACTTCGAGATATCGAGTATACGTATCAACCGTACAACACTCGTACACGTCCGACGATCGATACGTATCTAACGGTGTGCGATAGTTACAATCGGACGACCTGTTGTGACTATGCGCCCTCACACAGAGTTAGGACAGTATGTACGCGTATCGATCTTGTATTGATGGCATAGACCTCCATGTCAAAATTTGAGGAATCTGCGCAAATTCGTTAGTGTCACATTCAACGCACTAGTTTGGGGTTCCTTCGTGCGTGCTTTCATCGATAGATGGTTGCGATTTGAGAAAATTAGAGTCCAGTACTACCGGGCTAGAAGGGTACTTTTCACTGTTGATTATGGTTTAGACCTTAACGAAGTTAACTGCATAAGAGGCTCAATTAGAAGTAGTTGAAGGCAGTTTTGTAGTATTCAGTGTCTTTACTTTTTTATGGCGTGTTGTATAATGTGAACGCGCACTTTGCGCCTTATGTTTGCGCTAACCGTCCTCGTTTTCAGTTCGAAGGCCAGATCTCAGTTCCCGATTCCAACTCTCCCGAACGGTAATTCCCTACACTACCCGTCCCATTCATTGCCATATGTTGTGCCCAAGAATATGTGAAATGTGAATGTGTGGTCATGCGGGGAGAAGAGACCGCACGTCAATCGTCGGATCCTCCATCTCCGTCACCAGAATGACCCACCCGGGCCCTAAGTTTATTCCACCTTTTTCCCTATATAACAATAGATATGTACGAGAACTGGTCCGCGACGTTGGTGTAGGTGTACAACTATAATTAGTAGTAGCAGACATTTTCAAAAAGGTATCCGCTCTGGATGGAGTTTGCTACATGGTCAGCTGAGTGCTCATAATTTTTGAAATTAAGCCCTGACATGGAAGGGAGGAAAGTTGTGGACCAGTTCTACGGCAGTCTAAAAAGAAAGCGCGGAGTTCAGACGGAATCCATGGCTAGTGGATTATTTATTGGTATTTGGTCGGGGTACATACCATGACATTTTCCAATTTTGTGAAGAATGGTCAGCGGGCGACCTTAACACCATGTATACTTAACCCGTTTTTCACGAGAGGCTCATCAAAATAGTCAAAGTGATATAGCTCTAAAGAACCTTATGCATGCGGGCTGAAAGTGGTTACGATTAGGCCAAAACGTGAGGGAACCCAACGCTCATATCCCTAGCCATGGATTTCTCATTTCATTACGAACTCCGCGTTATGAAAGAAAGGCTCTGTTTTGAACTCTCTTTTCACTCAGTATAGAAAACCAAAATCCCTTGCCTTTCGTAAATAATAATTAAATATTTTAATGATATAAATTGTTATGGTGAGTATCTTTGTTTTTAATCGACTTTTTTCTCAGTGTGTTGACGATGGTCTGCGCATCTTCAACTATTGTTCGCATCATCGAGGATATTCTTCCGCGTATTGAAGATGTTAGTGTTGTTTTATTTGTCTCGTATCGAGGTCGGATTTTTGCGGTTAATGCTCTTTCTGTTGCAGACTCAAAACGACCGAGACAAATTCACGATCCGTCTCTTGGTACACCAATCGCATGCTGGCGCTCTCATTGGTAGACAAGGATTGAAGATCAAGGAGTTGCGTGATAGGACCAATGCCAGAATCAAAGTAAGCACATGTGTGTTGAAGTTGCCACTGAGGAGACGACTAGATGTTCGTCTATATGTTGTTGAATACGAAAGCATCACGTGTTTCAGGTATTCCAACAGTGCTGTCCTCAGTCCACCGATCGTATTGCCATGATCTCTGGTGATGAACGCAATGTGATCGATGCCGTGGAACAAATTGTTGAGGAACTCAAACAGATTCCAATCAAGGTGTGTAGAGCTTCGAAGTGTTGCTTTACGCGAAGCAGTATGTTCGTTATACAGTGACCCAAACTTCCTTCAACTACGAGCGGTTCTTGCTCCCGACTTACGGAGGTTTCTTCATCCTTCATACCGGCTCTGGAGGACGTGGTGGACCACCACTCAGCCCATTCGGTACATTGTATCATAGTTGTATGGCTGATAATGTATGCAAATGAATTTTCTCAGATTCAGGCTCTCGTGGCCGTCCTGGGATGGGCGGGCCGATGCCACTGCGTGGTGGTGGAGGTCTTGGAGGACCCGATATGCGTTTCGATCGTGGACTAGGAAGAGATTTTGATGGTAATCAAGCAATTAGCTGTTGATTAAAAAAAAAGAAGGAGACTTAGCAGAAGCGCGCGAGAGCGAGTGAGTGTGAGCTGCTGCAGACGCGAGAGAAAAGTTTTTACTTTGTTTGCAGGTCCATACGGTGGGCCAATGGGTGGTCCTCCATACGGTGGCGGCATGTCTTACGGAGGTTATCCAAGTCAAAACTCAATTCAGACTACTCAGGTAGGATTTTCCTTTCATATAAGAACACTTAGCAGTAGTGGAGGAAAAGAAACTGGATTTTCTTTCATATAAGAACACTTAGCAGTAGTGGAGGAAAAGAAACTGCGCGGCGCGATGGTTAGCCCATGAGCATTAAAAGGCCCAAGGTACCAAGCTCGCATAATTCGTCTCAGCCTATATGAATCGGTGGCAGTTCTCTCGAATAAAGACCGGAAGCGTCATCGTTCGTTAACGGGTGAGTTTTTGGACGTATGCGTATTCTGTTTTAAGACGGAATTGATCAAGGGTCTGGCATCTACACTCGTCTACCGAAGGGATGTGACCCGTCCACCTGTTACCCAATCACAAGAACGTGTCCTAGTGCGTCTTTTCTGCCCAACGTGTGCGTACGTTAGGATGGTGAGCAAACCGGACACGGCACCCTCTTTAGATTGGGTCTCATGTGGACAGTGGTCTGAATTGGTCTCGAGGTTTGGAATCGATGCAGCATTCCCGGAACTCTTCTAGCTTTGCAGTAATGTAGTCCCCATTTCCATTTGTCTCGAAGAAGCTGACTCTCGGTCGCAGATCGATGAATTCTCATCTTCAGCAGTGACTGGAAAAGCGGTAAGTGGTGGTTACTGGATGATAGCCAATGTTCCCGATCAATGTCAATTCTTCTGGAAGTCCTACGTTTGCACTGACACCCTTCGTGCATGTTAAGCACCACTGTGTTGAATGAAAGCAGTAATTTGAAGTCTAGCCTAAAGCTTCTCAAGTCATAATGGTTGAAACATTGTGGATGTTGCTAGTCACATCAGTTACTTTATATGGGTGCTTATTTGATAGACGAGGTGGGCCTTTTCCTGCTTTCTAACTTTTAGAGGATGTAGTGGGGTGGTTGTATTATGCGCGAATGGCGATGGGGTATTGTGCGAGAGGATGAGAGGCATAGTGCGTCTGGGCGGATCTGCGACGCTATGTATGTACTTTTGATAGTGATATAAAAAATAAGTAACGGGTGTGAGATTGCAGAGGATCGCTGAGCTCTACTATTGGCTTGTTGGAGTGGATAGAATTTGTAGTGGACTGATTAAACAATTTTGCTTTCGTTCTTTCGCAGGCAAAATAGTCGTCAGCTTGCAATTTTTGCGGGATTGTATTGTTTGCATAATGTGATGGGGAACAAAGGGTGCTGACATCAAATTGATTACTTCAAATAGGAAATTGTAGCGTTTTCTTATGCTGTTTCAGTAATTTCATGTAAATTTTTTAAAGGGGCCTCATTCGGGAAAAGGGGAAGAACACGTAGATGGGAGGGATGGTGGCTAGCAACATACCTTCATCATTTGAAATGGCTAAACGAAAAACTCCTTTGAACGATCCCCTTGTTTTCGGTCCCACCCCAACCCCCATTCGGCTTTGTCTCCTGCGGCTCTATTCTCGTTGTCTTCATGACCCGTTTTAGAAAAGAAGTTTTATCACATTGATGGTTCCGTCAACCCCTTCCCTTCCTTTTCAAACCTCACTTGGCGATTGTTTTCCTCTCTCCGGTTTCCCTTCCCCGATTTTTTTCAGTCCTCCCATCACAGGCAACAGCAATTCTTCACGAATC